TGCTGCATTCGTGTGCTGAGGTCCGCCTAAGGGAGACAGACAGGGAGGGGTTGGCTTGGCTGCCCCGCCTCCTTCACAGTGATGGGGACAGCGAGGCTGGGTGCTTACCGAGGCCTGGTGCCGCTCCCTGCTGATGTGGGTCATGGCGGCGTGCACCGAGGGGAAGAAGCAGTGCTTGGTGATGGCCGAGCTGAAGAAGTTGCCCTGCTCCAGCTGGGTGAGGACGGGCACTGTGTGGAGGGAGAAACATCTGAAGCCATGGCACCAGGCTGAGCCCACCGCCCCCCACCCAGAGCGGCCTCCCTCCCCCTGCGCTGCAGGGGCACTGGGGCCATCACCAGGGATCCAGCTGCCTTGCCGGGGGCTGTGGGGCTCAGACTGGATCCCTGGGACAACCTGCAGCACCTGTCCCCTGGGAAAGGCCTGGGGATGGGGACACCACGGAGGGAGCCCCAGGCCAGCAGCTGTGTCCCGAAGGGGTGGGCACACCCAGCAGGGGCTGATAGCTCTGCAGAGCCTCCTCACCCGGGCAGCCGGCAACGAAGACGTCCACTTCTATCTCACGGAAATCCCTGAAGATCTGCAAACAGCAGAAAACGTTTCGCCCGGGAAGAGGGATGGGCAGCAGCCATCAGGCCACCCCGCAGGGCCCTGGGGACACCCTCGGCAAGGCTGCTGGCCCGCCTGCTCCCCCTGGCCACTCACATTCTTCAGGATCTTGATGGAGACGGTGTCCACGAAGTTGACAGAGCTGAAGTCCAGGATGATGGCGTGGAAGCCGGGCTGGGGCAGCCCCAGGCTGCGCAGGGGGGGCTCTGGTGGTCCGCTGCCCTCCGCCCCGCTCAGCTCGATCACCGCCACGCCCGGACCGTTAACCCTGTCCTCCGCACCCTGGGGAAGGGAAGGAGTCCTGGCCTCCCTGCACGGGGCCTGGCGGCACCCCCGGCGCCGCTGGCCAGGCAGCGTGCCTCCCCACAAGCTTGCCCTGCCCTATAGCACAGGGGGGCCTGGCAAGGCCCTTTGGCTGTCCTAGGGCACAGGCAGTGGGTGGCCCCGGGAGCGGGTGCCTCACTTGCACCTTCACCCACTTTTGGGCTCTTTCCGGAGGCGCCGGGACCCACCCCTCTCCCGGATGACACTCTCCAGAGCCAGGCTCGTTAGCTGGTGCCAGGTCAGCCTTTGCTCTCACTCTTAATTCTGATTAACTCACCAAGTAGCTAATGAATGACTCACCACCTAATCATTAACGGCCCGGCTTTCCCTGCTGACCTTGGGTGTGACACCGTGGCCCAGCCCTGTCCCAGTGCCTCTTCTCACCCGGTGGCCCCCGACTGAACGGGGGCCCCACGGGCCACCGAGCCTGGGGAATGCACGGGCAGGCGGGCCAGAGCCAGGCAGGGAGGCGGTGCAGGGTGGCACCAGAGGGGTCCCCTGCAATGGGGAAGCACCTTTTGCCTCTTTGCCTTCGCCTTCTCAGCTTTCTTCTGCTGTTTCTTCAGCTTCTTGAGGGCCTTCTTCTTCTTCTCGATCAGGCGGTCCACGTTGATGCCGCTCTGCAAAACAATGCAGCCCTGTGTCCCCAGACGCCCCACCGCCACCCTGGTGCCAGCAGGCGGCAGGTGTGGGGAGCACCAGGGGGCTGGTGGCTCTCCTACCTTCTTCTTCAGGGCCTCGGCGTACAGCTCCACGTTGGCAAAATAGAGGGTGGAGGAGGAGCAGAAAATCTTCACACCGGGGACCTCCTGTGCCTAGGGGCAGATGGGGAGGGTGCTACCCCAGGGACGGAGCCCCCTGCTCTCCTTCCCTCCCTCCCTCCCCCAAAATGCCCCCCGCTCCTTT